ATCATTATCTAAAATGTAATCTAGAGAACAAATGCGGTTTGTGACTGCATACATATGTCAGTAAAAGTCAAGGTCAATCAGCCTTGATTTTTTTTTTAAGTCCTGGTATGAAAAAGAGGCATGTGGGAAGAATATAAAAAGCAGACTTGATATAAGAGAGGACCCAAGTTCAAGTTCTGATTGTGAAATTTAACTTAAATAAGTCACTTACCATCTCAAACTGAGTTACTCCATGTTTTAAGTGGAGAAAATAGTATCTACTTCACAGTATTTTAAGCATACAAAGTGAAAGCGTCTCGCAACCTGTAAAGCTATATAAAGATACCTTTATAAGTTAGTCTTGAGAATCAAAGGGTAGATATTTTAAGCTATGTATTTAAGGACTTTGAAATTGAGACTTTAGCCTTCTTCCCTCGAATGAAGATGCACATCATGCTGTGCAACAGAGCAGATGATACATTATTACAGAATTAAAAGGTCAGTTGACCTGTCCGCTTCTGAAACACAGTAAAAATAATACTGAAGTTTTTCTAAATTCTGACAAATCTTTGAATAATCACCTTTGGGGTTTGCTTAATTGACTAAATATAATTTTAACTAGCAAATAAAAGAATAATTTTCTAGTTCAAAAGTTCTTATGGCATATTTACATGAGTAGAGAAGCATCTTAATATTGCTTATTCTTATTCTGTATTAATAGTCTTCAACCTTGACATTACATAATACTAAATTATGAAATGACATATTTAAGCACAGTGACTACTTGATTTAAGCAGGCATGATAATAAATTCTTGGTTTTATTAGACTTTTTAAGTTATTAATTATACTGAAATAAATAATACTACCTTAGGAAAAAAACTGAAATATAGATAACTGAACACAGTACAAGTTCTTAGAGAAGTAGGACCAGGTACATTTATGTCCATAGACTATGTTTATAATATCATTATTTTAGTTGTAAAGATCAATCTGAAAAAATATTTTTATCAAATTTATCCATTTTGATTGAATGAGACCTGTGGATCTTGGTATTTCTTAAGGAAATTACAACTCAAGTTTGGGTACATAATGACAAGTTGTCTAATATAAATTCCAAATAAGTTGTGATTATATTTTACTTTGCTTTTTTTCCCCCTTAGTTTTGTAGCCTAGTTGAGGTCTGAGCTATTCCTTATAGATGTCACAGATACCACATTTCCACTTTTAAAAACTACACAAAGAATTTATGGAAATTGTCCCGATTCCTTTCAATATGCTTGAGCCTCCCAGACAGGAAGTATTTGTTTTATCTTTGCATACTTAGCACCTTGGACAGTGCCAGGCATAAAATAGGCTCTTATCTATTCTAGAGCAGATGAATACATGAATGTTTTTGTCTTATAGATCGCTGGAGCTACTAATCACCAGGGCTTAAACATCTTTTTATTTTGCTGTAATTATGTTGCTTGTATGCAAACTATTCTTAAGTTGTTTTTATTACATTTTTAATGCAAGATGTTACACAGAAAATAAAATCTCTTGCACTAAAATTCATGTTAGCATAAAAAATAATATATTGCCCTTTTACCTACAAAACCACATATTAATATGAGAAAAATTTGGAACAAAAAATACCCTTTCTAAAGCAGTGTTTACTTTTATTCTCATCTTCAAGTTCACCAAGGAATTCTTTGAGGTACGAGGGAGACCTTCATACTAACCCTCCCTTCCCCCAAAAAAACTGGAAGGAAAAAGAATTTTCCAGTCGTATTTAAAAAACATTATTGTGGAACCGTATGGATTAGTGTGCATTGTAAAGACATATATTCTGAATTCCCTCTTTTCCTCCCTGAATTTCCTTTAATTTCCTATTTTATAAATACACTCCGTGATTCCTGTTAACCATATGCACTACAATAAAGATTATGGATTCTAGCAATTGCTTCTTGTATTCACAGTAGAAACTAGAACTTAGTAAAGGAAAGAATATATACCGAGGGCAACCTCGGCTGTAAACGATCTCTGTAAACCGATATTTATTCGGTTTGCACTAAATTGGTGGTGGTATCACAAGAGCCCTTTGTCCCTGGGACGGTGGGTCTGGCAACCATTATCTACTCGGGGAAGCGACGTCTGATGACTCCGCCCGGGCTGGGGGTGGGGAAGGTGCACCGCGTGGAGAGCTCTACGAGAATTAAAGTGAGCGAACAAAGAGAACTCCCAGCAGCCGCCCGCCAGCTCCTCGCAGCTGCATCAGGAGACGTCAGTCACGCCCGGAAGGCTGTTCGAATACGCCTCCCAGAGAAAAGAGCTCAAGTAAATAATTGATGGAGATTGATCCGCCCAGGACAAAGCTCTGCAGAAAACCAGTGGATCCGATTTCGAGTGCTTTTGGAATCCCCTGCCAAGTACAGGATATGGGAGCCCAGCACGGACTTTGAGTGCGGCTACGGATCTTCCATCTCGGGTGTGGCTCCGGCCTTTTTGTCTTCTTGCCACCTTCCCTATCACCCCCCGCCCCCCGGCCCGACCCGCCTTCGTCTCTTTCCTCTTGAAAGTAGCCTCTCTTTGGTTACTTCTACCCTATCCTCCCTTGCAATCCCGCCCTCTCCCCTGCCCAGTCCGGTGAGGTCAGCTCATGAATATCAGTGCACTTCCTGAGGAGCGTCTGGCACCGCTTGGTACCTCGCGCGTTCGCCTGCCCGGAGCCGCAGCTCCAGCCGAGTCGCGGCCCGCGGGAAGTAACCGGCTCTGGGGGCCGCCGAACCTTCACGTTAACGCCATTGTTTGGAGAAATCGAGTGGGTGTGGAACTGGGGCGAGAGGGCCCAAAGTCGTGCTCAGCCAAAAAGTCGCATATAATACTACGAAGTTAAACTTTCCTTGTCTTTAAAAGACAAAAAAAAAAAAAAAAAAAAAAAAATTAAAAAATTAAAAAATAAACCCTGAGGTCGCCGGAGGATCAGAAGGAAAGCGCTGTTGATTTGCATCAACTTCGAAACATCGCGTCTGCAGAGAAGTGAGCAGTTCTTCTGGATTTCTAAAGGGATGGGGATGAGAGATGGGGTGGGTCAGTGGGCAGATAAAATATGAGATGAAAATTGTTGGTTTGTGCCCATCCGGGGTTGCTTGGTTGGCGATTTCCACGGGGGAAGCCTTGAAGAGGCACAGCATCTTGTCACTTTGTGAGAATCACGTGACAGCTTGGTACCTTTGGTTGTGGGAGCCGAGTTCCTGGAACCTGAGCTTTCTCCTGGTTTAGAGCTGTCTGGGGCCGAATTTAAACGTTGTCAGGTGGCTCTCAGCTCCTGAGTGATTATGCCTAATTCAAAACAAAAGTAAGGTTGCATTATTGGCAATATATTGGCAATATAGCTTGTTTAAGTGGTCCACATTATTGTGACCCATGCTGTTGAACTAGGCCAGACATTCTAGGAGCATGTGGCTCTGGAGAACATGTAGAAAATAAGTTGGTGGATAACTTTTTCCCCCTTAGTGACTTCTTTGTTCGCAATTATTTTTTAAACAGTTGGAAGGAGATCCCAAAAAGAGAAAGGTGCAGAAGGAAACTTCCAGTAATATTTATTCATAAAATGAGGAATTGCTGCATGTTCACTAAGTTATGATACTTAAAATGGACAATAACAGTAATAACCCTAGTAAAATAACTGGCAAGCATCTCCTCTCCTAATAGGAGGATTTTTATTTTTTTAAGGAGAACTTTCTGCCTAGTCATACCCTTTTCAGTGCTTTAAAGAGAGATGATAGCTCTAAGGAAAAAACACCAAACTTACAGCTGATCAGGTAGCTGGATCACTAGGGAGAAGAACACAGGAGGCACTGGCTTGCTATTTTCCAGATTTTAAAAGCTAGTGATAGTTTTATCTTGGAGAAAATACACAATAGAGGCTTATGGTGCCACCATGAGTAAGGATGCCCCAGGTTTCTTGGGTGCAGGGTCATTCTGTCTCAGAATTTGGCTCCATAGGAGGAACCAGGCACTTTAAAAGTACAACTTTACCTCTGATATAAACTTTACCTATGATATATACCATGTAATAAGATGTTTAAAAATGAAAATATTTTCTATCTGGCAATTACATTTAAAACTAAAATGACTCACAAGAACTATAAAATTCAGATAAATGTGGAAGTCATCACCTATAATTTAAGAAATTGTGCAGAGCCGCCAATAAACTTTTCCAAAAGTATTTTAAAAATTATTTACCAAAGCTTAAAGAAGAACACTTTTAGGGTTACTAATAACTAAACCATATAGATGATTCTGAATGCCATTACTTTCTTAAACTGAAGTTGATTTAAAGTCATTCATTACTTTTATTTTAGTTCTAGACTAAAGGAAAATGGGTGCATTTCTCTAACCAAGAGCAAAATTAAGAGTCAGAGCTGAGACAAGTACCATGTATCCATAGCAAATTTCCTCTAGGAACCTACATTATAACCCCTTTCCTCTAATTGAGAATAGTAATTAAATAAAATGTTCTCTACTAAACTGGGTTTTAAGGAGGAAAACCAAAGTTAAAAAAGCAGGGTATTCAACTCTAGCGTGTGGACATCTCCTTTTCCTTCTGAAGCTTCTTCCTGACTTTATCCCCTCACCTTTTTTTTTTTTAATCTCCCTTCCCATCAATTCCTTTCTGACCCATATCTCACCATTGCCAGAACCTGCTACCGTGAGAATGTTAGGCTCAGCTGCTTTCAGATCATTATGGAGTGAAATGGAGACGGTGCCTCCCTGAGCAAAATGAGAATTGACTATTCTGCATCCTATTCCTAAACTCAAGGCTTTTATTAAGTGCTTTCCAAATGTCACGATTTTCTAGGGCTTCTCTTCTATGGGGAAATCACCCTTTGCTCTGTAACAATGCAGACATGTTGTGTGCTTCCCTTCTATTTCTATCCCAGATTAGAAAGGGAGGTTGGCGGATTTGAGGAGGGAAAAGAATGATCTGGTGATGGACCATTCTAAATCTCATCTGGTAGATTCTTCCTAGACCGCCATGAGTCAGCCACCGATGGGGGGCGCTGCCCCTGCCACAGCCACAGCTTCTGCGGCCGCCTCTGCCACTGAGGCTCGACTGCACCCAGAGGGCAGCAGCAGAAAACAGCAGCGTGCTCAATCACCTGCCAGATTAAGGGACAATTCGGTCCGACAGACGACCGCGACCACCCGGTCCCCCGTGGGGGCCGGCACTAAACTCAACTCTGTTCGACAGCAGCAGCTGCAGCAGCAGCAGGGCAACAAGACTGGGAGTCGCTCAGTGCCCCCGACCAGCGCCCGAGGAGGCGGAGGCGGGGTGGAGAAGGCTGCGCCCCTGGCGCCCAAAGGGGCAGCGCCGGGAGCTGTCCATCTCGCGGCTGGTGCTGAAGCGGCCCCCGCGGCGACCCTGGCCCCGGTGGGCGTCAGGAGGCCTGGCCCGTCGGAGGAGCCATCCCGGGAGCTAGAGCCAGTGTCCGCCAAACTCGGGGAACCCCCTCCACTCGGGGAAGGAGGAGGAGGGGGTGGGGAAGGAGGAGGAGCCGGCGGCGGCTCCGGAGAAAGGGAGGGGGGCGCTCCGCAGCCGCCGCCGCCGCCCAGGGGCTGGCGAGGGAAAGGCGTACGCGCTCAGCAGAGGGGCGGCAGCGGCGGGGAGGGGGCCTCCCCTTCACCATCCTCCTCTGCGGGCAAAACCCCAGGCCCCGGCAGCAGAAACTCCGGAAGCGGTGTTGTGGGGGGCGGCAGCGGTGGCGGTGGGAGCTACTGGAAGGAAGGATGTCTGCAGTCTGAGCTCATCCAGTTCCACCTCAAGAAGGAGCGAGCGGCAGCGGCGGCAGCCGCGGCTCAGATGCACACTAAGAACGGCGGCAGCAGCAGCCGCAGCTCCCCGGTCGCTGGCGCCCCTGCCATTTGCGAGCCTCTTGCAGTCCCTTCCGTCTCCCCAATGGCGGCGGCAGCGGAGGGCCCCCAGCAGAGCGCCGAGGGCAGCGCGAGTGGAGGGAGCATGCAGGCGGCGGCGCCTCCTTCGTCGCAGCCGCACCCGCAGCAGCTCCAGGAGCAGGAAGAAATGCAGGAGGAGATGGAAAAGCTGAGAGAGGAAAACGAGACTCTCAAGGTGAGAAGGGTGGGGGGAACCGGGTGGGGGAGGGGCGGTGTGGGCCTCGGAGGATTAGGGCGTGTCCCGCGAGGGTGAGAGGCTGTTAACCTGTTAGGGGGCCTTAAAGAGGGAAGGGAACAGGAAACCAGAGGAGGGGGCTCCTAGGCCTTTTCTAGATTTAAAACGGCCTAAGATTAGTAGCCTCCAGGTCTTAATTTAAATCCAAATTTGGGCCTTCGTTTCTCTAATTATCATGGCTTGTCCCACTTTTTCATGGAGAGAGATAGAGTAGGAGAGTTCAAGAAGGCCCAAAGAAGGCCCGTTTTTCTAGTTTCTTCTTCATTCAGCTCTGTCACTCCTGTCTCATGGAGAGGGGCAATAAAACTGAGAATTTGGAGTTGGAATGGGGTGCATACGGTGCATGTCCGGGTGGCAGGGGGCGAGGTTAATTTTGACCCGCGGCCTGTCACCGCCTCAGAACGAGATTGATGAGCTGAGGACCGAGATGGACGAGATGAGGGACACTTTCTTCGAGGAGGATGCCTGTCAACTGCAGGAAATGCGCCACGAGTTGGAGAGAGCCAACAAAAACTGCCGGATCCTGCAGTACCGCCTCCGCAAAGCCGAGCGCAAAAGGCTCCGCTACGCACAGACTGGGGAAATCGACGGGGAGCTGTTGCGCAGCCTGGAGCAGGACCTCAAGGTCTGTGGAGCCGGGGCTGGGGGGAGCGGGGGGGGGGCGGGGCGCGGGGTAGGGGCTGCATGTAGGACCTCTTTGCGAGGAAAGGCCTTCACTGGTCATTAGCAAAGACACGGAGTTTCGCAGCGCTAACCACGAAATATCAGGTTCCATGCAGGGGAAAGGGAAGAACAGGCCAGTGGGTTTGAAGAGTCCAGTGTGCGTGGAAGGCCTTGCGGAAAGGAGCTCTGTGGGCTTTCTTGGAAGTAACGGTGACTCTTCCAGAGATGGTGGGAGGAGAGCGCCTCCCCCGGCAGAAACGCGGGCGTGGCAGAGCGCAGATCGTTGCTTGATCGCGCCTCCAGAGGCTGTCTTCCAAGTAAGGCCAGGTGAAATCAGGCAGTCAAGAGCAGCGCGATGAAGACTCCTCAAGGGAGAGTAATTGAAGGCGAGAACAGGAACAGCGTTGGGAAGATATTAGAGTTAGGGTTTCTCGCTGCAAGTCCCCCTAACCTCCTTCTTCCAGGACTCCTTCCTTTCTGTACTTTGCTAACTCCCTGAAAGAAAATCTGTCCAATTTGCCGCCCCTTTTGGAGAAGTAAAGCGCTAGTGCAGTAAATGAAAGAACCTCATTCTTAATGTGAAGCTGTTCCTTTAGAATTTCCCCCAGTGGATAAATTTTAACCTTGAAATATGTTTTTTAAGTAGGTGTGGTCTGTTCAGTTCAGTTTGACTGTAGGCTGATTCACTGACAATGCAAACCAGTGTTGTCTTCATAACCTTGGACAACCAAACATAATTTTAATTATTTTAACTTCCTCAAGATATGAAAATCAAGTGTAATTATCCTATATTTGTTTTAAAGAAAGCTGTGAGAAAACACTTAATGAGAGTCATTGTATTTTTTTTTCTTTTCCTAACAGTGCTCACTATGCACCAGGCACTGTGGCAAGCATTTTTATGTATATTAACAGTTATTTCTCTAAATGTTAGCTCAAGACAAAAAAAACAAAAAGCACCTATGAGGTTGGGATTATTAATAGCATCATCTTGCTCTTCTTGTATGGAAGCTGAACCTTTTACCGAGGTAAAGTGCCCAGCCCCCAGCCCTGGGAATCAGCTAATAGGTGGCCAGGCTGTCTACCCACCCAGTATAAAACTACAGTCTATGTCCTGAGCCACTACATAATACTACACCAAAGGGTTTTGTTCCAAACCCTAAAATTTCCAAGATGATCTCAAAGCAAAAGGCAAAAATGTACACTGTAAAACAAAACAAAACTTAATCTCAAGGACTGATAGTTTCCTGAAAGTGAGCACCTGACATCATAGGATCAAAATTCAAGCCCCCACACCTCACCTGTGAAAACTTCGTTTTCTAGTCTTTAAAATGAGTGATATAGGAAATATCTAGTGTTGTTGTAGAATTAGAGGAGATATGTGACATTTCTTTACACATGACAAATCACAGTTGAACATCTATGACCTTGGTGAGTATAGAGGTTAAGGGAACAGAGTGGAGAGCCAGACTACCTGACCACTTGTTAGCTGTGTGACCTTGAGCATATTACTTCACATCTCTGAGACTCCTTTTCCTCATTTATAAAGTAGGAATAGTAATAGTCCCTATATCATGGGATTGTTGTGAGGGCTAAATAATTTATGTATGTGAATGACTTATATATGAAGCATCTGGAAAGATTACTGGTATCTGGTAGAAACAATTTCTGTATTGATTCTTAGTAGTTTTATTTATTTATTTATTTTTGGCTCTTAGTAGTTTTAATGTGAATATAACTTTAGCTCACTTATTGTATTGTCTTTAATTACATATTATTGTTAAAACACTTCAATTTAGGTTGCAAAGGATGTATCTGTGAGACTCCACCACGAATTGGAAAATGTGGAAGAAAAGCGAACAACAACAGAAGATGAAAATGAAAAACTGAGGCAACAGCTTATAGAAGTTGAGATTGCGAAGCAAGCTTTACAGAATGAACTGGAAAAAATGAAGGAGGTTAGTATTTGATTATCTCATGGTATGCTACATATACATTTACTTCTTTAGAAAAGAATCCCCAGGACTAGTATGACTGTTAAAATAATTCCGTTTTTTAATGATTATAGAACAGTTCGTTGTTCTTACCCAATATACTAACAGACACATGACTTCATACTAAATTAATAAGTAGCAAAGAAAAACTGATGTCAGCCCTGTCTCTATCTTGATATATATGAGCTCTGACTGAGGTTTCATCCTGTCCTCTAAATTTATGGTAAAGAGGGGCTCATGGGTGGCGCAGTTGGTTGAGCTGCTGACTGTGGGTTTAGGCTCGGGTCGTGGGATTGAGCCCCGTGTCAGGCTCTGCACTCAGCCTGGAGTCTGCTTGGGTTTCTCCCTCTCCCTCTACCCCTATCCACCCCCAATAAATAAATAAATAAATCTTTAAAAATAAATAAATAAATTTATATTAAAGAAATTACACAGCTATACCAAACACAAAGGATGTCAAGAGTATGAAAGACTAAGCCTTGTGTTGAGAAGAAGAACTAGTCTTGTGATTACTACTGAGTTCATAGAACCACAGACTTTTAGGATGAAAGGTCAGAAAAACCATTTAATTGAATCAAATCAAATCAAATTGAATTGAATCAAATAATTGCTTGAATCCTCTTTATGACAAAACCCCCAGATGATCGAATGCTTAGAACATCACCAGTGACTGACCTTTAAGATCTTTTGCATTAGCCAGTTCTGTGACAGCATAGCTCTGTTTAAAGGTTTTCTTTGTTTTGAGTTGAAATCTATTTCATTGTAACCTTGACCGATTCATCTTAGTTCTTACCCTTTAGGGTAGAAGAGTCAAGAGTCCTCTTCCACATCAGGTATTTGAAGTTTCTACCATGTTTCCCCTAAATTGTCTCAAAGAACAAAATTAGTATCAAAGAAAATAATTGGAGGAGAAAAGAAACAGAAAAGATTTATCAAGAAGTAATTAGCTTTGTGATAAGTAGCAACTGAATTAAAATACTCATCTTTGAAAACTGCCTGAGAATGTACAGGCAACTTATGAAAACTATTATTGAGAATTAGCAAATGCACACATGGTCCTCTGGACATTTTCCTCTGCTTAGATATGCAGAATTTAAATGAAAATCCTAATCTTTCTGTGGGCTGAGATATTGCACCTTTCAATGCTATGCTTATCTCAAAATGGTATAAAAATATATATTACCATGTAACAGTGAAAATATCAAGTCTGATTAGGAATATGTGTCAGGAATTTGTATTAAATAGTTTCAGTGTGGTAAACTATTTTGTGATCTAAGTTTCTACTTATTGTTACATTATCCTGATTTAAACATTTTTTAACATGACAAATTAGGGCAAAACCATTTTCATGATATGTAATTCTTGGCTAATACCTAAGGATGGCTGTGTGCTACAGTAGGAAAACATGGAAACTGGGAGCCATGTGACCGTCCTTACCAGTAACTAACTGGATGACTTAAAAGGCTTCAAACTTGCCTCAGTTTATTCACTTGTAAAATGTTGTTTTAATGATTCTCAACATCTCCCACAGCTATCATGACCTTTATCATGAAATCCAGGACATTATCTTTAAAGAAGAGCATAAATTTTTTTTCCCTTAAGTTAAGAGATTAACTATGAAATTATGTATGTATATGTTTCTTAAACAATAATGTACAGTTGAAGTCAAAAAATGAAAGTTTAATTTCCAGGAAAAACAATGAAATAGGCAGCTCTATTAGTTTGCTAGGGCTGTTGTAACAAAGTACCAGCAACTGGGTGGTGTAAATAATAGACATTTATTTTCTCACAGTTCTGGCAGCTGGAAGTCCAAAGTCAAGGTGTAGTCAGGCTTACTCCCAATGAAGGCAGGATCTGTTCCAGGCCTCTCTCCTTGGCTTGTAGATGGCTATCTTCATGTTTACATTACATTCTCCCTAAAGATGCCTATGTCTAGATTTCCCCTTTTATAGACATCAGTCATTGTAGATTAGTACCTACCTAATTGTAGGTTGTACGTTGTAGATGGACTGCCTCTGTAAAGACCCTATCTCCAAAAAAGGTCACATTCTGTAGTACTTGGGGTTACGACTTCAGCATGTGAATCAAGGGGACCCAATTCATCCTATAACCATAGCAATTAAACACCTTCTTGTAGGCAAGCAAAGAGAAAATTCATTGTCAGTTCCATTAGGGCTCCATTCCACATTCATACCTCACTTGCTTTCTCCCATATTCCTTGTTTATGCAATTAAGAACATTCAAGTCAAAACAAACTTCAAAGCGACTGCCTTTGGCTCAGGTCATGATCCTGGAGTCCCTGGATCGAGTCCCGCATCGGGCTCCCTGCTCGGCAGGGAGTCTGCTTCTCCCTCTGACCCTCCCCCCTCTCATGTGCTTGCTCTCTCTCATTCTCTCTCTAATAAATAAATAAAATCTTTAAAAAAAAAACAAACAAACTTCATTTGACTACGAGGAATAAAAGAGAAATACTTTGTGATTTGGTATCATGTGAATGTTTCTTAAGTAAATATCTGAAAATTGGATTTAAGAATGGCATAAGAACTTTCTGATTTCATTCTGTGTCTAGAAAAGGGGAAAATGCCTGTAGACTGTTCATTAGCCAGATAGATGGGACCTCTCCCATTGTAAAATAAAAGCCAGAATAGTCTGGCTACCGGGAAGAAGGGCTAGAACCTGAGAATGTCCTCAGGAGAATCATTGTAGAGATGTATTTCCTTGATTCTGTTCCCTACACCCTTCCCTATAACTATTCTTCCTTCAGGACTCTGACTCTGATTTGGGAAAACACTCTAGTAGCATCAAGCAATGTGGGTATATGTTCATGCCAAAAAGGAAATTCACATTCTCCTTGGAGTTCTAAAAGCCAAACTCCAGTCCCTGATTAGAGACTACAACAACAACAACAAAAGTGTAGGGGATTTAGGAGCATGTATTCAGGATATCAGCTTCTAAAGTAACCTTTGATTTAAAAGATGGGCTCTACAATAGCATTCCCAGTTTGAGAAGGTGGGTGGCAGTGGAGAAAAGAAATAGAAATAGGAAGAACAAGAGAGTGGATGAGAAAGATCTGGGGGATTCTAAATGTAATAAAGGAAAAATGAAAAATATTCTGGCAGGAAAGTTCTGAAATCATTCATTTGAAGTTAAGCTTCAGAGTGTTCAGAAAAGTGTCAGGAATAGAAAAGGTAGTTTAAAAATATATTTGGAAATCAGAAATGTTTCATTAAAATGAGATTCTTGTAATGGTAACTTTGTTATCTTCCAAGAAGATCAATATTAAAACTGAGTTACAATAATAAGTGTCTCAGTGTGTGGGGTAGGAGCTGTGACAGCTTCAGTTAATCATCTACTTCCTTGGTTGTAAAATGAAAACATATTCAAGTCCTTGGTGAGTGTTAACCACACAACTGTCATCCCTTTGTGGCATTCTAATCAGTGGAGAAAACAGAATGAGGCCAAACTTTCCATTATGAAGAAAAGACACTAGTTATGGAGTAAAATCATAAAATGTTATGTAGACTATACTAGAGAGAAGCAATCCTCTAACTCCCAGTTTCTAGTTTCTTATATGGAGTCATATAGATGTTGAACAGCACAATTGGGACCAATAGGCCATCTGCTGGAGTTTGGAAACCATTTACTAAGAGTTTAATTGGCTTCAAGGGTGTTGACCAATTGCTGTCAAGGCTAGTGGCTGCACAAGGTCCTATGCACCTGCTCATATCCATCTGCTTATCTTCTTCCTCTGAGAGTACGGAGTAGGCACCAAGGGTAAGAAGAGTTGAGTAGAAGCAGAATAGAGGTAATTAGTTGAGTCTATTGCAACTCATTGCTTGTATTGAAACAGTTGGTATTCTGCCAATTGCAAACAAGAGGGACCTCTTAGGATGCAGCCTTTGAGTCTTAATGGTTTTTTCATCCAATTACAAAACATTGATTGCTACCACCACTATGCTTTCTTGCAGTAGAAAAATGCCTTTACTTTTATGTAACCCAGGGAAAATGATGGTCTTTCAGCATCACAAGCAATCAGAGACAGATTTTTACAAAAGTTATTTCATGGAAACTATGACTAGCTCGTAGCATGAATGCCAAGACAGGTTAATGCATAAATAGCATAAAGAGAGGATATGGAGGAGGCTCTGTGAGGGATGAGTCTCTGCTACAGTTAAGTGAAGGTTACTGCCCTTCCTGAAGTCCTGCTGCTGTAGGAAGAAACTTTACTTTGAGAGCTTTGAAACCCTTGTGCTCTTCAGAAGGGAGGGGTCTTCTCATGTCGCCTTTAAGATCTGACACTGGGAGAAGCATTGATGACGGACATTTGAGGAAAGAAATAACCAACAGAGGACCTTTGAAGATGGAATGGAAGAAAGAGTAAATGAGATGATGATGATAAATGTTTACTTGATCCTTTTTATTTCAGAATCTATCCTCTTTGTGTTGTTCCATCCCTTAACCTCATGCAGGAGTCTTAAAATAATTTTCTTAACTTTTCCTGGTCTTTGCCCTAGAGGGCTCTTAACTTGCCTACTGCAATAGCACTATCTATCTTGGGACTTTTATTTTCTGTGCACTTGGTTAATATATCCTATCAATTACAGTGAACTCTCATTCTAGATCACAAAAAATAATTAGTACTATAAATTTTAACAGTAGTGTCTCTTTTTTTTAAGTACATAAAGAATATATCTGTTTACTCAGACTCTCTTTACAGACAGAAAACTTTAATAAACAAATGTTTCTCCTGCATGTTTACTATTGCCTATTTATTTTTTGATATAAAATAAAGAAATGAGTATAACTTTACTTGGATTTGGTAGGATGTGTTTAAGTTCTTAAGTGCAAAAACGAAATGCTGAGTGATAAATCAGCGAAGCAGCATCCCAAGAGACAGTATTAAGGGGGAATTTCTTTGGCATTCAAGTATTTTCCCCCCTGGTTCTGGTAGTTGTAATTTGAAA